TTTTATATTCAAGAGTGTGTTCGATAATCTTCTTTTCTATATTCAAGAGTGTGTTCGATCAAAAAATATTTAAGAGTGTGTGCCTCGTGACATGGCTCATCGGCTGACGGTGACATGTCAGCAACCAAGTGACAAAATAAATAAATAAATAAATATTACACAAACTAATAATTAATAGGGTTTGGCTTCCCTCCAACCCGTGAGCGAATTAGAGAGTGATGCGGGTCTCGTTTTGATAATTAAACCGTTCAATATATAAAATTTGTCGAGTACTATATATTTGTAAAAAATCATATTGATCGGATATCGATAGCTACGTAATCAAATCAGTTTTATATAAAAAATGGACGGTGAAAAAATAAACGGTTGATAGAAATCTGATCCGATAAAACAATGTGATTTTTTACAAGCTTATAATACTCGATAAATTTTACACATTGAACGGTTTGAATTACCGAAACGACACCCGTGGTGGGCTCCCATGACCCCAACGACACCCTCCAGTCCAATCACTAGACTAGAGGAAAACCAATCCCTAATTAATAATATTAAAAATAATTATCAACAGGTTTTATTGATTAGACTTATTTACTTATAATCTTGAGTGAATGCTTTTATATTTTATTTATTTATATTTGTTTTATGTATTTGCTTGCTATTTTAATAATGAAAAAATTTTGAGACTTATAAATGTATTTTGTGTTTGCAAAATGATCATTTGATATTGATAACAATTCTAAAATATATGAAAGTGGTAAGTTGGACATTTCGACTTTGGTTTTGTGAATTTTGATTTACTTTTAATTATGCCTTAATTTTATATTGAAATATAATGTGAAAAATATAAATAGTTAAATTATATTTTTTTAAACAAAATTTACAATGATAAATTAATCATTAAAAGTTAGAGTAAAATTTATTAATAAATAAAGGGTCTTGAAAAGTGCCTTAAGACACAAGCAAATGACAAGAAATATGTCAATCTCGAGTTATTTATTACCAACTAAATTTAATATATATATTTTATGAATTTCAAAATACTTTACAAATGTTTTTACACATTTTCAATATATTTTTTCTTGCCTTTCCAGTATTAATAAGTGACATAAAACACTTATTAATAAGTGTCATAAATAAATTGGATTCGCATGATTTCAATATATTTTTCTCGCTGCAAAAATGTTAGCATCACTCCTCAAAATAATTTGAATCTTAAGTTATGTTTGGTTAATTATTTTAATCTATGTTTGATTTATTGAAATGGTTTGATTTATTAAAATGAAGTTGAATCAAATAATCATTCCATTATAATGTTTATCCTCACATTTAGCTTACCCAAAAATAATACAAACCAAATATTATTCACCATTATGAGTAAATAATCATTCTATAAAGAGATAAAAAATTAATCATTCTATTCAATTCAATTTTATTTCGATGAATGAAACAAAGCATTATAGTATTAATATTTTAAAAATGAAGTTTAATTTACTACATCAAGAAAAAAAATATACATAAATTAATGATATTAACAATTGAAATTATTTAAAATTTATATCAATAATTATGATTTACGTCAATCTCAATCACTATTATTTATGATATATGTTAGGGAAATTACATTAACGGTCTCTATAGTTTGGATATTGTATCACTTTGATCCCTGATTTTTTTAATTATGATACATTTAATCATGAATTTTGAATCTTATTTCAAATAAGGACAATTGAAAATATCATTCCCCAATTTCAAGGGTAAATTCATCAATTTGATAAAATATAAACTAATTTGACAAAAATAAATGTCAAAAAAGAATATTTTTGATTTTTTAAAAATTTTGTATACCCACTAAAGATAAGGTTATGTAAAATTGATAAATCTTTTAGACATTTATTTATTTTTTATCAAATTTATTTTTTTATGTGTTTGGATGATAATTATGTAATGGGTAGTTGTTTTATTTTCATTAAATTAGTTTATATTTTTCTAAAAGTCAAATATGGCGACAATTTTGATATCATTATTAAACCAATCCATTAAATCAAACAATCCAAAACTAAAAATATTTCATATATTAAATATATCGATTACATATTAAAAACCTAATAACCATCCATTACATGATCATCATCCAAACACATAATAAAAATTAATTTGGTAAAATAAATAAATGTCTAAAAGATTTATCAATTTTACATAATTTTATCTTTGGTGGGTAGAAAATATTTTTAAAATTTTTAAAAATATTTATTTTGACATTTATTTTTGTCAAATTAGTTTATGTTTTATCGAATTGCCGACTTTGCCCTTAAAATTGAGCAATGGTATTTTCAATTGTTCTTATTTGAAATAAGATTCAAAATTCATGATCAAATGTGTCACAATTGAAAAGTCTAATACCAAAGTGATACGAACCACAAACTATAAGGACTGTTAGTGTAATTAGCCCTTTATGTTAACTATAAAAGACATAAATTTCTCATAAAACATAATATTATAATTATTGTAAAAAATAAATTATAATTGATTCAATTACTAATACAATAAATTATAATTGGTTTCGTTTGGGAAGTGGGTTGGATTTTTGACTTTTTGACTTTTCTGACTATTTTAGCCTATGCTAAAAAGTTTGGTTTGGGAAGGGCTTTTTGACTTTTTTGTGAGAAAAGAGTGTAATGATTATGAGTTAGATGTGATGTTTTATTTTTTGTGGCTAAAATAGCTTATTTTGTCTTTTGTGGCTAAAATAGCCAAAAAAAATCTCAAATCCATCTTCCCAAACGGAGCTAAAATTGGATTTCTCACTTAATAGTTTGAGTGATTTTCATGGGCAAAAAATAGTAATTTTAGTTTTTAATTTATACAACAAATTGTGTAGGTACAAGGGGAAAAGAAATTATTACTATTTTATCAATATATATATATATATATTAAGTATGTATAAAAGTCGGGTCTCATTTTTTGTATTCACCTTGGGCGCCAAAAAAGTCAGGGCCGGCCCTGCTCATGGGCACTTCATGAGCCATTTATTTTACAATAATAGTACAAACTCAAATTTAACTATTTAGAAATTATTCAAAATTATCAATTGTAATTCAAATTTATTCTATACATGAACTCCATACATAAAAAAAAATAAAATAAAATAAAAAGAACACTTAATTTCCACCATATCCACTGAAAAATTTCTTGGTGGATATTTCTGAGCTTGCAGACTTATTCTTTATTTTATTCCAATGATTTATTATGCAATCCAATCTTGTTTGGTGTACTTTCTTAGAAACTAGGGAGAATTTTATTATACACATTTTATATTATATGTATTTTTAATTATGTTATTTTTTTAATTACGATTAATTTTTTTTTTAGTTATGATATTATTTTGTAATTTTGATTATGACTTTTTTTTTTAATTATGACTCAGAAAATATAAAATTATGTCATTTTCTTATATTATTATAAGATACATATGTGTACCATAGTCTTTTCTATAAATTAAAAGTTAATAATTACTGTGGGTTGTTTTGGGAAGTTGGTAAAAAGTTAGTTTTTAATTTTTTACCAAGTTTTTTGACTTTTTTGGAAGTGATTTGAGAAGTTGGTAAAAAATTGACTTTTTGCTTTTTAGTTTAATATTTATTTATGGTGTCAAATCAAATTAAAATGACCAAAATATCCTTACCCAACATAAGAAAAAGAGATATATATATATATATATATATATATATAAAATAAAGAAAGTTGATACGCAAGCTGGGTGCTTGGATGTGATCAATATGTATTGCCCATGGTGTATGATATCAAGCACTTGATGAAGTTTTGTAACAGGCTTCATGGTGGGTTGAACATGAGTGTGGGGATAAAATAAAAAAAGAAAAAGGATAGTTTGGAGAGTGAGTCACATGGGACTGAAAAAGTTGCATGAGAAAGTGAAAAAAAAAAAAAAAAACAGCAAGAAAAAGTGGAAGAAAAGATACAGGTAGTAGCAAAGCATCTTGCATCCAGTCAACAGAGGAAATACCATTAGGAGAGACAAAATTCATGGCCTCTCCTTTTAGCCCAACCTGACCAGTGATGGCCACGACGGGGACGCTGTCGAGCATGGCGTCGGCGAGGCCGCTGACTAGGTGGGTGGCGCCGGGGCCGGAAGTGGCGATGCAGACGCTGGGGAGACCGGAGGCGCGTGCGTAGCCCGCGGCGGCGAAGATGCCGCCTTGCTCGTGGCGGGGGAGGACGTTGCGGAAGAGTTGGGAGCACGGCAGGGCTGTTGAAAACATCAAGACCCATCTCAGTTGGATCGGTAGCTTGCAACTCCACTTGAATGCCATCAAGCTCTCTCTTGAACCTGTCCTTGGAACTAGCATAAATCATTTTGCTTCTGGCCCTCGATGTAGCAGGTGACCAAGCAATAAAGAAAATCCTGCTTTTCGGGACATTCTCTGCCGTCATGAAGTCGAAGTCGTAGACAGCATAGCGAAATTCGGCAGCAGGAAGACTAGCAGTGAAATCCTGGTAACTTTGGGCTGGTTCACCAACCTTTTCCACAATAACTTGCTTCTGCTTTTCCACTATCTTGAAAACCATGAAGCGATAAGTTCTTTGGGTTTCAGCTCCATAAACCTTAATTTGCAGTCATCATGCACAGCCATCCCAGAAGCTGCGTTGGCCATGTTGGTAGATTCAGTGAATAGTTGAGAGAGCTCAATCTATCGACAGAGATTTGAGAGGAGAAAATTTAGAGAGAGAGAGAGAGGGAATGAAGGCATGCGTAGAAAATTCCAGCGGGCAGCAAAGGCAAAGTTGCCGGCCGGCTGCCCGCCGGTGAGAAAGAAATACAGGCCTAAATCAGTGGCTCTGATACCAAGTTAAAATAAATGTATAAAAATAAATAGAGAATTGTATTATTGAATAATGTATGCTTGTTGTGTTGTGTATTTACAAGAGAATTAGGTCTCTCTATTTATAGAGAGGAGAAAGATACAATGGAGTACGAAGGCATAAGGTAAGATATTACAATAATATAAAAGTGTAATCTAAAGCTTTGCTGGTAGTGGGTGTTGGCCTCCTTTACACCTTTGCTGGTTCCTAATGCACATGTACATTACAGCTCCTAATGCACATGTACAGCTATGAAAGTATAAGGTATATTATATGTTAACATCTACTATCTCACACTCTCTCTCTCTCTCTCTCTCTCCAACAAAACCAAAACCCATATCTACAAACCCAAAACCACACTGACATGTACAGTCACGACTGTGCGCCGGCGAGTTTTCAGGCGACCCATTCCGGTGATCTACCTTTGTATCGCCGGAGCTCAAGCTTCAGTAGTCTTATTCCATGCTTGACTGAAACATGGGGTGACTTGCCGTTAAAAGTTGACGATTCCGAAGATATGGTAATTTATGGGTTCCTACGTGACGCCGTTAATGTGGGCTGGACCCCGTTTAATTTAACGGTGACGGACGTTAAGTCCGAGTTTGAGCCGAGAGATGAACCGGAGCCAGCTACGACTACTACGTCATTGGCGGCGGCTCAATTGGTGGCGCCACCTCTGGAGGCTGCGGTGGTGCCGCGGAAGGGGAAGCATTATAGGGGAGTGAGGCAGCGGCCGTGGGGGAAGTTTGCGGCGGAGATAAGGGACCCGGCGAAGAATGGCGCCAGGGTTTGGCTTGGGACGTATGAGACGGCTGAGGAAGCCGCGCTGGCTTACGACAGAGCGGCTTATAGGATGCGTGGCTCGCGGGCTTTGTTGAATTTTCCTCACCGAATTGGCTCTGATGAGCCTGAGCCGGTTAGGATAACGGCTAAGAGGAGGTCGGCTGAGCCATCTGCGTCAGGTTCGTCGGAGAGTGGCTCGCCCAAGAGGAGGAAGAAAGGGTTGACGGCGCCTGAACAAGCTGAGTTGGAAATGGAGAGCCAATCAAATGTGTTTGAAGTTAGGAATAAGATGAGACCATTGCCAGTTGGCGAACAACTATTGGTTAGCTAGTTTTTCTCGTGGTGCACTGTGTCGTAGGGTAGGGTTTTAGAGGAAGATAGGTGCCTGTTTGGCTGTATGCAATATCATTAACATGTAAAGCACCATTTTGTTTAGAGGGAAAAAATTCCCATGCTTTGAAACCATTCCAATTTTGTGAGGTTTACGCAAAGTTAGAAGCCAAGCTTGAATGGGGAAGATTAATTCATTAACATTATCAAGAATCATCTATTTTGAAATTAGAGATTAAGGCCATATTTTGAAATTAGAGATTAACTAACTTCCTCTTCATCGGACTTGGTGTTACACTTGTATACAAAATATTGCAGTGACTGTTGTGCAGCTCGTAAGACTCATTTTGGATCTTATTTTGATAATTTAAACAGTTCATTTTGAAAAAAAAAATTTACATAGAATATACCTGTAAAAAATTAAATTGATTAGATATTAATAACTGTTTCATCAAATCACATCTGTATAAAAAAAAATGAACATGTATATATCACACTAAATACAAATGTAATTTGATGAAGAGATTATCAATAATCGATCAACTTAATTTTTTTACACTTCTCGATATTCTCTAAAAGTTGAACAATTTCAATTATCAAAATATGACTGAAATGAGTTTCATAAACCGCACAACAGTCACCATTATGTATTATGGAGAATAATTACACCAAATCCTTCGTTCATCTATCTTATTTTGGTACTTATCATGACTTTCAATGGGTAGGTTTACAATTATTAATGGTACTTATCATGACTTTGAATGGGTAGGTTTACAATTATTAACTTTTTTTTCCCCAGTAATTAAGGGGTGGCTTGGATGCACCAAGAAAAGAACAAAATAATTTAATTACAGTAAAATAAATGATAGGACGATCATATCAATTGCAAATAGAGCTAGGATCCTCTAGAGTTTTTTTTTCTTAAAATTTCCTAGAGTGGTACATTGTGTGGTTGAGATTTAATGACAAGTCACATCAATTTTTCAACATTAAATCTCAACCACACAATACGCCACTTTAAGAAATTTTAGGAAAAAAACACTCTAGAGGATCCTTGGTGTTGCAAATAGGGTTAGCGTACTGGTGTGACTAAAACTTGGTTATTCTTCTTTTTCTTTTTTTCTTTTTCATTACAATGTATCATAATGCAATATGATGAAGTATAATAATCAACAATTAAAACATAAATCACAATTAATAAACTTTCAAAATAGGAGAGAAAGATTCAAAACAAATATATATAAAAAATAAATAAATAATAGCAACACGCATGGAGGTAAAGGAATTGAATCCAAGCGGTTTGGCTTAATTCTATTAATAAAAATTTCGCTTTAACTAGAATAATAAAGTGAGGTCAAGTGTACAACACTTTCCAATTGAGATCAATTAGAACTTGTATGTGTCATATCTTGCAAAATTTGCTATTGGGACTACTACATGACCCTGTTGCAACCATCATACCTGAAAAGCTTTAGATTGGTACAAAAAATTATAAAAAAAGAAAAGAAAAGAAAAGAAGACCATAACTACAATTTTAAAGATATACTATTTTTTTTTTCTTAAAATAACAAATTTAATAAAGTTGTGTCTATGAATACCGAATTAATATAATTTTTTTTAATTTTATTTAATGAACGATTTATACATAAAACTCTACAAAATGAACAAATTAAATAGTTAGAATATGAAATTAACAAATGAACAATTCAAAATAAATACGCAGTGAAGCCCATGAATTCGCAACGGATTTGGGGTGGTTGTTGTGTCCCTAACACAGCAGCCACTGCTGTGCAGCTAAATGGACCCATTTCGGGATCCATTTTGATGATTCGAACCATTCACATTTTAAAATATATTAAGTAGAACATAATTACAAAAAATCAAATTAATTGAATATCGTTAACTTTTTCATTTACTCACATTTGTATTCATTTTAACATTTTAAATCACAATTGCCATGTATTTTTGTAGATACAAATGTGACTGAATGAAAAGGTTAACAATATCCGATTAACTTTATTTTTTATAGGTGTATTTTATTCGCTATACTCTTAAATATGAGTGGTTCGAATTATCAAAATAATCTCATTTAGCTACACAACAGTAACTGCTATACTAAAGCACAACAGCCACCCCCAATCCCTTTGCAACATCCCAGAAATTTAATAATGGACAGAATAGAATCCCTTTTCCTTTTAAAAGTATTTAGTGTACATTTGTTTTAAAATCACAATCGAAAATTAAAAAACATTCACTTTATTTGATTTTAATTTCTTATATTCAATTTTCTATAAACTAAGTTTTTTTTTTTTTTTTATATACATTTTTTGTTTTTAGGTAATTTTTTAATATTTTAAGTAAAGTTTTTACTTTTTAGATACACATAATATAAATATAATTAAAAAGTATAATATTTGTGAAATTATTTTTTTAAAAATTCACTAATCTCATTTAGTTACACAGCAGTAACTGCTATACTAAAGCACAACAGCCACCCCCAATCCCTTTTCAACACCCCAGAAATTTAATAATGGACAGAATAGAATCCCTTTTCCTCTTAAAAGTATTTAGTGTACAGTTGTTTTAAAATCACAATCGAAAATTAAAAAACATTCACTTTATTTGATTTTAATTTCCTATATTCAATTTTCTATAAACTAAGTTTTTTTTTTTTTCATATATACATTTTTTGTTTTTAGGTAATTTTTTAATATTTTAAGTAAAGTTTTTACTTTTTAGATACACATAATATAAATATAATTAAAAAGTATAATATTTGTGAAATTATTTTTTAAAAAATTCACTAAATACCAAAATCACAACAAAAAAAAATGAAAATTTAGTTTGTTTTCATATTCTTGTATATTTATTGATTTTTTAAAATATTTTATATAAATATTTTACTTTTTAGGTACGTTTTATGTTAGGTGCATTTAAAAATTAAAAAATTTGCTTAAAATATTAAAAAAAATTAAAAACAAAAAGACACGAAAATTGAAAAATTCAATTCTCAAAAAATTGAATTCAAAAAACTAGAACCAAATAAGGTTTGTTTTTTTGTTTTTTTGTTTTTTGTTTTTTTTTTTTTTTAAAGAAAGCAAAAGAGAGCATGAAAAATTAAGAGAAAATAACATAACGGAATAAATTTTCAAAAAAATAAATAAATATCAAATTAATAAAAAAGTATTCATAAATTTCATATGGGGAATGTTGATCTATTTAGTACTAATAGTTTTCTTATGAACCGGTTAATCTTTTTTGTTTTGAAAAGTTATATTTATTTGATTTATTGCCATTTTAATTTAAGCAAATGCTCTTTTGTGATTTATTTTTAAAATTTTTTGATTCGTTTCTGGGATGAGAATGAAAAGATGAGGTGTAAAAAATTATTTTTGGGGGAATTGGTGGATGAAGTGTTGGTTGTCGAGCATTGAAATATATATTTCTATTAGTGTGATTTTCTGGTGTTACATTGAAATGTTACATTAGAGTGCTACATTTAGAAAAAGTACACTAATTAGTTCTTATGTGTTGTAATGATTGAAGTATTCTGTTTGGAAAAAATACACTAATGTTGTGTTTGGTTGTAGGATTTGCAGAGGAATTTGAAAAAGAAAATGGAAAAGGTAGGTGAAATGTGAATAAAATATACCTACATTTCACCTAGTTTCACACATCTTTTTTTTTTTTTTCAAATCCCTCCCCAAATCCTCTGACTAAACACAATATAAGGAGTTTTTTTTGAAAATGTTATGTTGTTACGTTTTAAAAAAGTATACTAAGAATTTTTGTTAGTGTTTTACATTAGAATATTACGTTTGACAAAAGTACGCTAAGGAGGTTTTTTGAAATGTTATGTTGTTACATCTGAGAATAATATACTAAGAAGTTTTTAATATATTACATTAGAATGTTATGTTCGAGAAAAGTATAATAATAAATTTTTTGTATTACATAGATTGTAGTGTTACGTATAAAAAATATATATTAAGAATTTTTTTTTTGAATGTTACGTTGTTACGTTTGAGAAAAGTATAATAAGAATTTTTTTAACGTGTTAAATTAGAGTGTTACGTTTGAAAAAAGTATACTAATGTGTTTTTTTTTAAAATGTTATGTTTAGTAATTTTAATATTATGAGACAATTCACATTTGTCTCTCAATACATAACCCAAGCGCGTTTATAGTTGGACCTTTACGTAATTCACAATAGGATGAGACTTTTGGGTCTATAAAAAAATAGAGAACTAAACAATTTATAACATCATTATTTAAAATTTATTAATGTTTTACTCTAATTTTTTTTTATACATAGTATTAATAATTAAATTTGTATTTTTTTATTTATAAATTTATACTTTTTATTTGTGACTATTCACATGTAATAATTTCAAAAACCGAACATATTGTTGTATGAATGGAATGAAAACCATCAAATCATAGTTCACATCAAAAGTAACACAATTTTCCATGAAACGTTCCTTTCACATTCTAAAAGTCAGTCAGTCAGTCTTCTTGTAGTGGTTGGCATCTTCTCAGCCATTAGGTGGAAAAGGGAAGTGGAAAGGGTTTTCGCTTATCTCCGGCCTAAATCGGACTGAGGAGGTAATATATAAATTTTATAAGGGCAAATTACGTATACCTTTTTTGAAATTTAATTAAATTATAGATATTTTTTTGAAATTTCAGAAATTATAGATATTCTTTTGAGATTTACATTTTCATAATAAATTGTTCCCTGAAATTTATATTTTCATAACAAATTGTCCCCTGAAATTTATATTTTCATAACAATTTACTTCCTAATTTATTATGTAAATAGTATCTCAGGAGGTATCTGTAATTTCTCAAACCTCATGGGGTATCTGTAATTTTGCTAAACCTCGAGGGGAGTATATGTAATTTGCCCAAATTATAAGGATAAATTATAAATATATTTTTTGAAATTTTATTAAAATATAAATTGTTTTATGTAGTTTTGAAAATTATATTATATTTTTTGAGATTTTTAATTTTATAATAAATTGTATTTTTTATTAATAAATTATTAAATTAATTAACAATTTTTAATGATGTTAAAAATATGTTTTAATTAATAATTTAGGTAATTTTATTATTTTATAAAAAGCAATTATGAATTTTATTTTATCAGTTAATTTTGTTAAAGTGCAAAATAGACAGAATGGGGGAATCTTGACATTGTCAGGTAAAGTAGGGGAGGTTACTGTAATTATTCAAACTACAGGGGAGGTCC